TGTAATAAGTAGCATGAATCCAGTAGACTTGCGATCAAAAGAAATTGCATTTGTGCAGCTGTCGTTTCGGAAGTACGTTTCTGCGTAGAACTCGAGCTGGAGCTTACAACTGCGCCAAGATATTGAAGTTTTTCGCGGTTAGGCACACAAAAAACGGTTTTAATGGCCACTTTTGTTTGCTCTATGCCATTTATTACTATTCCTACTCTTCAAAATGCGCCTTCGAATGGTGCTTTATGAATCTTCCTTCAGAAACTATGGCCAGTTGAAGATGGCGTAATGAGTTAGAAAGCATAAGATTGGTTTGGCGATGTTAGATTCGACAACACGACAGTTCAGGTGGCCGTAACTCTTGAAGGAAAAATCTTATAGCACCATTCGAGAGTGCATTTTGAAGGATAATAATAGTGCTAGAAATACTTGAAATAATTCTAATCGATTTTTACTATTTAATCAGAAAATCTTCTTCTTCTTTTAGCATCTTATATTACATTTACATTGGACCAAAATGCGTGATTTGAAATCAGTCATTTGAAGGTGTTTACACTGCTTGATCGCATTTGCTTTGACTTCAAAGACAAACCAAAGCTTTTGTGGAACTTTTGTTTCTGAGTGCGTTCAATAAAATAGTACGGCAATTGGAACGCATTTGTTCGTGATTTTGTGTAAATGCGTCGAAATGCGTCATTCTGGAAATGTGAATTTGTATGGAGAAATGCGTGATTTGGCCTCGCATTTGAGGTTTCTCGCCCAAATGACGCATTTGGGCTCAATGTAAATGTAATATTATTTTGCTTCTTTCGGCCTCGTTCCTTTTTGGAATTGTATAATTCACGCTTTTTTTTTCTACGTAATTTTTATTTTCTGTGCCTAGTAGAGTTAGAAAGAATATAAATCTTAACTATGGATCAATACCATGTTGAATAGCTTACCATGTTGCTTTCAAATCAGCCCTATCTCTAACTAAATATAAAATAATTTTACCTGAAAATTCAATTAGTATAAAAGACTTATTTACGTTAGAAATAGTTTTGCACCGAAAACACATGGATAATTATAGGTATATGAAGCTGTATTATTTTATTGTGAAGAAGAAAGCCAGATTTTTCCATTTTTTAGCTTGGTGAATTCCGCGCCAAAACACTTTTCGATATTTTTGACTGTTACATTACATTAAAAAATACTGCCGACTTCATTTTCATATAGAAAGCTAATCGCAGATTTTTTCGTCGAGTACTTTTTTATTAACTTCAAAGTAATACAAAGCAAGCGTAATTAGCAAATATATCGCAAAAAAGTGGTGGTATTAAAATTTAAACTAACCTTTAGTTTCATGTTGTGCTTTTTAATATTCATTAATTTAAAGGTGTCTCAGGATTAAGTGAATTTTCAGAATATGTATGACCTAGATATAATCAAAAATCCGCGAAGCCTGAGAAAAAATTGTTCCCCTCGGTTTCGTTTTCGGCGATTTGGGTCATATACTTTTAAATTAATTCAATTTATATATAAGGGCCCGTGATTTTTTAGTCCCGGGCCCGAGTTTTCTCTCAACGGCCCTGATGATAAGTAGGGATGTTTACCCGATTTCAAACGTTTCCGATAATATGCAGAGTTATACTTAATGATATAATTGAACATAGATAGGTACAAATCGATTAAGTGGTTACCGAGGTACACCTTTGTAGTTATAAAGTGGGCGGTGCTACGCGCAATTCCTAAAAGTCTATAACAGTCTTATTTATTGCTAGGAGAATGTTGTAACTATTAACTTGGAGTAAATAAGCGTCCTCATAGAAATGTCGGAGTTTTCGTATTTCTGAAATTTAACATCATACGGGAAGCGGGTGTAATTTTAGTCCGTTTCGAACCAAGGTTATTAAGTGCACCGAGTTTGGTAGAAATTGATAATTCGGTTAGCGAGATACACATTTGTGGTCATAAGTGGGCGGCGGCAATTTCGTGTTTCTGTAAATTACCGTTATATGGCAGGTGGGCGTGTTTATTACCCGATTTCAAAGATTTTCAACAGATCTCTTAGCTAGCATCGAGCATCGTACCGAGTTTGGTAGGGATTGGTGAAGCGGCTACTGAGATACAGCATTTCATCATAAGCGGGCGGTGCCACATCCATATTCCAAAAATTTCATAATATAATTATTTTTTTACTACAATTCTACTCCACATACTAATTTTCAACAATTTGCATCTAATATTTACTGAAATATCGCAGTTTTTGCGTTATATGGGAAGTGGGCGTGGTTACAGACCGATTTCGCCCATTTTCAATACCAACCTACCTTGGATAAAGGGCAAGCTACAGACGGACGGACAGACGGACATGGCTTAATCGACTTCTCTTTTCATTCTGATCATTTATGTATGGCTCATTCCATCTCAAATCACCCAGGCCGGGGGAAAGTGAGTTTAAGTTTGCGATAAAACTCACAGGGATTGTTCCTTGAACAATTTAAGGAGAAACGTATTTTTTTTTTGCTCAGAAATGCGAATTTTTCGAATAATGAATTTTTTTCTTTTTGAGTACGAACGCTTCTTTTTTCCTCTCTTAATTAGCAACTTTTGATGAAATCACTTATACCTGCCGCAATTTTTTCTCTTGAAAAATTTTCCACTTAAAAATTTTTTGATAAAAAAAAAATTACTTTCTGAAAATATGCCATTTCAAAAAAAAAATTGGAAAAAATCACAATGGTAGCTCTGAGTATTGCGCAATATTTAAGTATAATGTTATGGGGTGCACTCTACAATAATTTGAGTAAAGAATTTTTTTTTACACCGAAGTTGAGTAAAATGAGTACATTACCAATTTACAAATTTTTTAAACTTTTTTGGAATTTTTTTGAATATGCAGTTTTATAGCCCATTAAATTTTAGTATAATAAAGTGGAAGTTTTAAGAGATTGCAAAACAGCCGTTAATTTTTTTTTTAATTTTCTTTGAAAATGGTTTTAGGCCTTTTCATCGATAAATAAAAAGTGCAAGAAGCCGTGAGCATAAACAATATTAAAAATCAACGCAATTTTGCAGTAGCTTAACAACTGAACTTTATTATACTCAAATTTAATGGGCTACAAAATTGCATACTCAAACAAATTCTAAACAAAATTAAATTTTTTTTTTTTAATTGTAATGTACTCATTTTACTCAACTTCGGTGTAAAAAAATTCATAACTCAAATTATTGTAGAGTGCACCCCATAACATTATACTTAAATATTGCGTAATACTCAGAGCTATCATTGTGAGTTTTTCCAATTATTTTTGAGATGGCATATTTTCAAAAACTATTTTTTTTAATCAAAAAATTTGTATGTGGAAAATTTTTCAAGAAAAAAAAAAATATATTTTTTTTCGTAGGGAATTTTGATGTGTGTATGTGTGATTTTATCGATAAAAATGTTTTAATTGCGTATGCATGTTCACTTTGAGCAAATTGTGAGCACTGGTTGGGGAAATCTTCGGTAGATTGGGCAAATCGCTAATTGGGCCCCAATTGGGCCAAAATTAGAGCCCAATTCGGAAAAACTTTTGGCTCTGATCGGGCAACCTCAAAAAATTTCCAGCAAGGAAATTTTATCATAATGGGCAACAATTTTTGCGTCCTCAACTGGCACGAAATCTGCTAGCATCATATAAGTGCATATTCAGAAAAAAAAACCATAACTCGAAAACGACGAATTTGGGCATATTGTTACTCGTACTGAAAATAGTTTATACTATTCCCTTATAGACAAAAAAGTTTGAGAGAAAAAAAGTTGTGGCAATTTGAAAAAAATCAATTTGAAAAAAAAAATTTTTTTATAAGCAATAATTAATTATTAATAAACAATTACTGATGTTTAGTTCACTAGATCGATTCAGTAGATCAATATCTGCAATTTAAAAAAAAAAACGTTAAAATCCTTGCTTTTTTGCGGCAGTTATAAGCGATTTCATCAAAAGTTGCTATTGAGAGAGGAAAAAAGAAGCGTTCGTACTCAAAAAGAAAAAAATTCATTATTCGAAAAATTCGCATTTCTGAGCAAGAAGAAAAAATACGTGTCTCCTTAAATTGTTCAAGGAACAATCCCTGTGCGTTTTATCGCAAACTTAAATTCACTTTCCCCCGGCCTGGGTGATTTGAGATGGAATGAGCCGTATACATTTGTCCATGCGAACAAAGTGCACAAGTTCTCTCGGGTATAACAAATAAATGCCGTGTTTTAGAAAAAAAAAATTATCGTCTATGTCGATATAGCGATATCGATAAAAGAATATCGGTATATCTACTATCAATATACATATCGTCACTAGACACGAATAAAGGCGCGCTAGTGTTTCGACGGCGAAAAAAGACGCATACAAAAATTTTACGAAAAAAGGCGCTTAAGATAAACTTCGGCGAAGAAAGACGCCTAACCTAGTTGACGGCGAAGAAAGACGCGTAATCATAGATTTATACTTGGCGAAGGACTGTCACTTCAGCACTATTCCCCAAAAACTATTAACGGAATGTACATACTATTACACCCGCAAACATAGTTGACCGCGAAAATAAGTTTACGCGTCCTTCTTGGCCGTCAAACATTTTAACGCGTCTTTCTTCGCCGTCAACTATGTTAAGAGTCTTTCCTCGCTGAAGTTTTTTTTTATGCGCCTTTTTCGCGGTCAACTTTTGACCTCGCGCCTTTATTCGTGTCTAGTGACGATATCTCTTGCTTTCCTACCCTTACTAATACTATAGTGGGTCTTTTTGACCTTAATTTTGAAGCTCATCTTAATTACATATGTATATTGAAAATGGAGCTAAACTTTGGATGATTTTATAGCAAGGTACCAAAAAGTATTGCTCAGCTCTTGCTGAAAGGTAAAATTATAAATAAATATCCTTATAAAGAGCGTGTGGGATCTGAATTTATTTTGTATTCGTACATACATATACTGCATTCTTAAAATTCTGTCGTGTCTTTTAATTACATCAATTACGTAAAGGATACTTACTACTCGGCGCTGGCTTCTCCTTGTGCGCATGCTTCATGTGCTCCATCAAAGCATCGGCGCCCAAGAATAGTTTGTGACATACGGGGCAAGAAGTAGCGTTGGGGCCGCCAATCAAAGCCGCATGCTGCTGCAAGACACCAAGATGCAGCTGTAGCTCCTGTTTTGATTTTCATTTGGGGTATTCATTTTAATGGTTTTTGTTTGTTGGCGATTCGTGTTTTGATAAGGTTTCCGGTATTAGTTTTGTAGAAGAATTTCGATTTATGGTATTCATTTATTGTGTTTAAATGTTTTGATGGTTTGTGGTGTGGAACGAGAGTGTGAAAGGGTGTAAGTTGTGGTGAATATGTCAACCGGCATCGACGCAATGAAATTGAACAAAAATAAAAAAATTTTGATTTTTGAATATGCTGGGGTCGTTTGATTATAATTTTTTCTCTTTGTTTTTTTTTTTTTATAGGTTAGTACAAACTTGCATGTACAATAAGTATGAGGATTTTTCGCCAACAGCAAAACACATTAAGAAATCGCAAAAATCGTATTAAAGTTTTTTCCAGAAATTTCAATACATTTCCTGAGTCGTATCCACATGTATCCATTGTACACAGGCAAGGCTGAACTCACCTACTAACGGTCTCATAATTAAGCAACTAAAACTCAATCAACTCTGAGATGCTATCACATGCACATACATACAATTGCTTTATGTATGATATTTTCTGTGTTACCAATATGGGTGCTCACCTTGAGTAGCATTTAGGTGTAACGTTGCTACGTAGCAATCTAGCACATGTTTTGTTGCTTTTCCAATTTTACACCTAAAATGCTACTCATCGTGAACTCCCCTAATTAATCATATGTACACATGTATGGAACACACATACATACACACAAGTGTAATTACCCTGCAGAGAAAACCAAACTAGTGAATCAAATTTGTAATTCAGTACTGGTTCTTTATTGCCAAACCAGATCCCCACCATCCCAAAAGAGCAAAATGCGGCACTTTTACAAAACTGCTTTATTTTGCTGTTTAAAACAGCATATCGTTAGCTTAAAGTGAAAAGTTGCTAAGTCCACTTTTTCAAGAAAATTATACAGGGTGTTTGACAGACGATTGAACATATGTACATAAATGGGGGTAGTTAGGCTGTCTGTTATGTGTTCAGCCCCAAAAATTTTACCTAGGCTCCTTTTTTAAAGATTTTTTGCCAAACACTATATTTTGATGCAAGAAGCAAAAACAATTAAAAATTCATCGTTTTCTAAAAGATCTTTTTGTAAACGTTTCTGTTTAGTTATAAATACGCAATTTCGCTAACTTCGAAATAGTCACACAAAATGTGATCCAAAATCTGTCACAAAAAAATTAAAAATTACTCATTGTGATCCAAAATCTGTCACAAAAAAATAAAAAATTACTCATTAGAAATCTCTATCTAAAGTATGCAAACCAAGAGCAGAGAGAATAAGGGATGCAAAACGAACTATGCAGATCTCATCTATTGAATTTAGAACTGGTTCGGAGCTATCGAAATAAGAACACAGAACCGAAACCACCTAATAAAAACGTACAAATTTAGAAGATATCTCTATGGTTTTGTTTCAGCCTTTTTATTTTAAGTGGGAATATATTTTCAATGAGATTGAGAATTATTCTGTGGAATTTTATAAGATTACCTAATTAAAAGCTAAAATTAGAAAAAAGCTGGTCTGTGCTGACGTGTCCTCGAGCCTGGGACCTATATGAAATTAAAACAGTGTCGGGCATTTTTAGCTTTCCCATAAGTTGTATTCGCTACTACGTATATTATAAGCTAACTCGTAGTGGTGGCGTGGTGGTAGATGGTTGGCTATGGGTTTTGGGCAACTATTGATTGTGTCGAAAGTCACTTTTTGTCGATAGGGCAGCACTGTCTATAGTCGCGATAGTTTGCCACATATTTCGCTAATGAGAATGTTTGTATGTTTAATGTATTTGGGGTGTTAATCCATCACACAATATCTGTTAAAAGTTAAGTTGTATTTTAAATTCAAATAAAATCAAGACCCAAATAAAAGAGCTCACTTCAAAAATGTTTATATATTTATTAAATAAGTCAGATATTTTTCTTCGAAATTCAGTTGTGAATCGACAATAGGTTGACAGGGAAATGACAAGGTTGTTAAAATATTTTAAATGGCACTATAACAGCGACTCAAATGCATATTAATAACAATTGTACGTGTTTACAGAATATGTTATTTTTTATCATACACGGAAATGAAAAATAATACCACTTATTGTTAGCTATATTTCCTGTAAATCGGAGAATCTTATAGTTTTTAACCGCAACTCGACCCGGACTACTAGACCCGGACATTTGACCTTCCAAACCGTAAGGTTTATTTTTACCGTACTTATGTACATATATACATAATAATGGATGGCAAATGAGCGATGTATAAAAAACCTACGTCGGAATTTTATTTTATGCTACGATTTTTCACGTCATTTACTCCGAAGGCTACTAACTAATTTAATTAATTTACACGGTTTTTGAACCAGTTCTTGGTCGGAAAGGCAGTTTTTCAGTGGTAACCCTGTTCGCAATATAAGATTGTGTGAGTGTGATCGCAACTGAGTTAAAATGAATTTAAGAACCAAACCAGTTCGGCACTAGTGCGTTTCTCCACAGGGTAAAGTTACATATGTGCATTTGTTCGGCGCTTAATATTTGAGTGACCAATTTCAACTAAAGAAAACATTGGCTTTGGGATATTCACTAAAAATAAGCCAATTAAATGCTTTAATATTCGGATATGCCTTGTTGTTTTTGTCAACATCATTACTGACCTTCGAAGTGTGTGTGCGAAGGCTGGACTCTGTTGCGAAGCCCTTTCCGCAGATATTGCAATGAAAGGGACGATTTTTGGCGCGTTCCACTTGTGCGTCATGATTGCGCAAATGTTGTTGCAAGTTTGATAATTGAATGAAAGCGCGTCCGCAATCCGGCAAGTGGCATTTATATGGACGTTCACCTTAAAATAAAAGAGGAAATGGTTTTTGGTCACAAAAGTGTAACACTGACTTGGCTATGTGTGCATATTAGGGTGGTCCTTAAATTATTAAATTTAAATTTTGTATGGATCACCTAAGAGTGGCTACCTGGGTTAGACAAATTTTAAGCTTTTTAAATCGCATAAATTAAAAAAAAAATGTTTGATTTTAAATCTGACAAATTTTACATATTATTGAAAAGTATTCATGTAAATTGGTCAGCATCAACGTCGAGTTCTCGCGATAAAAAAAAATCAATTTCCAACCCTGGTAGCGACCCTATTTCAATTTTGAAATTTTCGTGTACGTACAACAAAATAAGTAGTGCCCCGTGATTTTCATATTTTAATGATCACCCTAGGGTACATATTTATATGAAAATACTATTAAACTAAATTCTACGGGTCAAAGGCTTCTCAAAACATTACTTTTTACGTGTAATTTTATTAACGATACTACATAAGTAATATGGCCTCATTAGATCAATTGAGCATAATCGGAATGAGTAGGCATTCCGTAATAAAACGATAACAACTTTATTAAAAAACTGGCCTTTAATATTTCTTTCGTAAAAATAAAATGCAAAATTTGGTAAATACTTAAGAAACGAATAATTACGAATTATTTCATTCATACTTTATAAATATCGATACCGAACGAAATTAAACTAAACTTAAGAATTTGAGTGTATTATTTCTGGTATTGAAGTAAGCGTAAACAAATCCAACTTTCAAGACTGAAAGCTAAAATTTCGAAAGTTATCTTAAAATCAGATATTTTTTACTTTAGGTTTTACCATTTACAAACTCATATGATATGTTAATTTGCTTTAAATTTGATAAGACTGATTTTCGTAGTCTATTATCTCTTTTACGTTATTTAAATGGTCAGTGGAGAGAACAATTCGTCAGCATCGTAACCAGTGTTGCCATTTAAGCCATCTTTCGTCTAGATTTAGCCGGTTGCGATAGCAAACAGCCGGAGAAAATTCGATTTAGCCGGCAGTCGATTTGTTCGCCGTTTTGCAAAAAAAGTAGCCGATTTCGCTATTTCCCTATTTTATTAAAATTTAAATATATGTACTTATATGTAAGCTTCCATTTTTTAAAATTTGGCGATCTAAAATCTATTAGAAACTGCTAGCCTTACCTCGGAGAAAATTTTCATGTCGGACTGTGTTAAGTATATACAATTTAAGGAATTTTACTTAATCCGAAAGGTCTTAAAAATACTTTATGTGAATATACAGTGACCCAAATATGAACTGGGACGCGACATTTCAGCTTATTATTTTTTTATGAAAGTATAGCTGATTACTTACAAACACCATTTAAATCCAAGTTTCATATTTTATGCAAAAATTATGAAAATTCTGCATTTTTTTTTTATTTAAAATCTTAGTATAGTTATTTATGGTAGCTGGCACTTACCGTTGATTACTGACAATTTTTTGTTGACTTAAGTAACCAACATTTTTGGGCACCGTGAATATTTTAATGTAATCTGAAGAAAATCCCTCTCTTAAGTACCTCCCCGCTTATTTACCCAACCCGCCTAAGTACCTAAATTTTTCGTACCCCATTTACCATTTTACTTATGATTTTCCCCTTTTAAGTGCTCCAGCAACACGTTCAGTAAACAAAATTCTAAAAAATCAACGGTAATTTTTAGCCACTTGAAACTTGCACATTATTACTCTAAAACTGAATGGGCTATAAACAATTCTGAGAAAAAGTTTGATATTTTGATGATTTTTTTAGTGTTCTAAAAAATTTTACGCTTAGGTTTATATGGCATTTATTAGGCAATTAACTGTGTTTTTATTGAAAAATCTTAAAAATTAATAAATAAGCATAAGTGGCAAACAACATCATTTTGAATTTGGTCCGAAATGAGAGATATGTCCAACACTGTGTGTATGTATAAATATGTATAATTAATGACTTTAAAGAACTGAATTCTTGTAAAAATTATATAACGATGCTTTATCGATTTTTTTAAAGAATTTTTTTTATGTATTTATGTGTTTAAATAATGCTACGATCTTAGTTTTCATTAAAAGTTCATGCTTTATTCAAGAACTTATTTATATAAGTTAACAAGAAGATTAACTACATCAATAATTATGTTCGCTTAAGTACCCGCATCGAGGTACTTAAGCGGGCTCTTTTACGTACCCAACCCGTCTAAGTACCTCAAAAAACTGACATTTTTCGTGAGGTACTTAGCGGGTTTTACTGTATATGGTGTTTTTTGAGTAATCACCTATATTTTCATAAAAAAAATGATAATAAACATTAAATAAACTAAATAAAAGTAGTCAACACTTGCTAAAATCTCGCCTCCCATTTTATATTTGGGTCACTGTGTTCTTTCCAAAGAAGGATGTAGCGGGGACTTTCTTTATACAATTTTTGTTATGAATGGCTTAAATTTAAGTGCGAAGTTTTATTTGCAACACTTAGAAAATAAGGAATGAGAATCAAAGAGCACGAATATCGATGTGAAGCAAAACTCTATGGGAAGACAATACCTGTGAATAATTGTATCATGGTGCCAACATACTTTATTGTTGCTTATTATTGCTCTGAGACAGGCATGTGAGAGAGTGAGTAGGGCATTAAAACAAGTGTTTCGAATATATAGATATAAAAATACAATTCTGCTATTTTAATTGTTCGATATAAATTAATGGCGTTTTCTTTTTTCGAAATAATGTTGGCATGTTTTCTTCAGCCCTTTCATTTTCTGAAAATGTTGCCCTCCGTCTAGGCAAAATACGTTATACTAATATAGCCATTTTTAGGACGAAAAGTAACCTAGTGCAAATATTACAATGTAAGGCAAATTTTTTTAATAAAAAATAAAACGCCATAAGTTTGTAATTTATCTCTTTTTTCTATATTTAAGAAATACAAACATGAGTTCTGATGCACCTATAACGTTTGTTAAACAAAAATAATTTGTAATAAATTTACCAGTCTCTGTTTTTGTGATTTTCCAATTTTTCTATATCTTGAAAATCGTGTAAATGACATAGCGGCCATGTGTACTATCCGCATGTGAAATCCATGTGAAAATCCGTAAACTTAAAATTGTAATATCTCAGCGAAGCAACAAGATATTTGAGCAAACTCAACGCCATTTCAAAGAGAAAGACTTGTACTTTAACACCTTTTTTGTATTTTTTTGAGAAAAATTACTCTGGCTTTTGCACTTATTGGTTAGAATATCTCAAAATCCTGATGTGATAGAGCAATTCTGTGGCCAGATTTGAATTCAGCGCACCGAAAACCTTCGGGAAAGTATAGTCTGGTTTCTGGGTAAAAATTTTGTCAGCCTGTGTTACTTATCTGCTAATCTGAAATGTATCATATATCTGTTTGTCAGCATCGATGATAAAGCTAATCATAAAAAGCTATTTAAAAATAAGTTACTTTACAACGACGTCTACTCAGACAGTGAAGATGAAAAGTGTGCCTTTAGGTGGCAGAATCTTTTGTGTGTTTGTAAAATCCTTTTTTTTTTTTGTTATTTTAATAGTTTAATAATGTGTATTTATTTATTCATCTTCCATTTGTTACACCCGTCACAAAGTCAAGTCCCACCCGTCAAAGTTGAATTTGGAACATATAATCTATAATTTGAAATAGAGGTAAGCAACTTCAGCGCAAATGTTGAAAATGTTTATTTCACTATACAATGAACTACTTAAAACCATAAGCAGAGTACATAATTAGCAGAAAAACTCTGATACAAGTAGTAGCTAATTTGGTTTGCGTACCCGTTAAACCCGTCCAGGGTTGGGCACGATGCACTAAATTTTTAATGCACTGGGCATTTAATTACCGCCATTCGATTAGTGGTAGTGAGATTTGAAATGCATTACCACTGTGTGCATAGTGGTAGTAACAAATTGGTTTCTGGCGTATGGTTAGTGGTAATGAAAAATTATTTTCACTAGCACTATGTACATAGTGGTAATGCATTTCAAATTTCACTACCACTATGTAGTTAGTGGTTATAAATTTTTTAACAAACCTGTTGTAAGGAAATGGTTATAAAATATTACAGATCACAAATTTTCCTCAATCTGTGAGCCAGTGTAATTGTCAGTGATAGCGAAACTTTCCCTTACCGCTAACCAGATAGTGAAAGTGAACACTTTATTTCACTACCACTATATGTATTTATTTATTTATTCAATTAGTAGTAATCTAGATTAACACAGTTACTTACAGACTACTTAGAAATAGAAGGAGTTATACATTAAAACTCATTGCATTTAACATTGATGAAATTTTGATTGGTGAAATTTTAAATGCACTATCACTAACCATATAGTGGTACTTAGTGAAATTTTAAAAGCACTACCATTAAAGCCCTAGTGGTAGTGAACATTTTGATTTAATGCAATTTGCCAAACCTTGCACCCGTCACAGTGGCTAAAATTCATATAACTCATTTGGATTCACTTTTTTTGAAATTTCTAGGCATTGAGTCTACCTCGGAAACCTAACATAATATAATCGTTTTAAAGAACTTTGTATTATAGTTTAAGAACTAAACCTTAAAATGTAAGTTCAGAAGTCACACCCGTCACCGTGGAATGAGCCATATCTAATTTTACGATAAAATGAACAAATGTTAGTGAACCTTTGTCTTTAATTGTCTTAAGCAAGATGATCCAATTTTTCCCTGTTAATTTTTGGGGACCAAAATTAAACGCAATATTTGGCTGATATTTAATAAAAAGGGAAATATTCCTTTTAAGTTTTTTGTCATTCATAAAAAGCGAAGTTAAGATTAAAATGTGGAACTGAAAATTTCCGCAAAAATACAAAAAGTCAAAGAAATTTAAAAATAATCTGAAAAAATTTGTTTACGAAACTTCAAAATATTCTGTTCACGTCTTTAAATATTACCGCCTTTTTTCTGTTCAAAAACAATCAGGCTAATTTGGCATTTGGCACAAAAATAT